CAATACAAACACTTAAACGTTTTTTAGACGTTTAGGTAGCTCCCAGTAGAAAAATATCAATTCAACAGCGGCCTTTTAAAGCATTCTCACTTCAATTAATTAATTAATTCCTAATTGAGTTTAAATTAAATATTGTCATGTTTTTAGTGCATGAATCTGAATTGAACAACCTGATAATGCTCACTCTGGTGATTAGCCATATGATGCTCACTACGTGCTCTTGCGCGCCGAATCCAATCAATTAAAAATGAAAACTGTTTGCCAGCGCGAGAAAAGAAATATAATTGGTTTTATTGATGCATACATACGTACGTATTAGCGTTTTATATAATATAGATAGATAACCATTCAATAATTGTATTACACACGTAATATCGTGCGTAACTCTAGTTTCAACAGGAAGGTATGAAGCAGCAGTAGCAGAAAAAAATGGGTCAATAGGGGTCATGGTCCCCGCTTACAGATATATAGGCCTTGAAGTGTGATTTCATACTTCAAATAAGGCAGTTAATTATTTCCTGTGGCAATTGTCCTGAATTGTCTTGTGGAAATTTCATACCTTCTGACACCAACGAGTGTTAGACACGATCATGCGTGTGTATTACAATTGCTGAATAGTTATTTGTAGAATTTGTAGAATTATTTGTACAATTGCTGAATAGTTATTGTATCAATGTATGTACAAATCAAATTTCATTAAATTCGGTCGCGTAGTTCTAGAGGTAATCGACCAAGTCTGCAAATTCTCGTAATTATTTACACCAGTGTATTACAAAACAAATTTTTATTTATTTCAATGCGTTAGTAGGGGCCTTTATATTGTTATACCACAATACGAGAACATCTAAGCAGCTCAAGTGGCTTGTCAGAAATTTCCATAAAGATACGCTCAACTTGTAAATGAGTTTGGTTTTGGGTTCCGAAACAATCAACATACTTATAATATCAATTGATGATATGACAACGCCTCTGTCAGTGATCTCATATATCAAGTAAAATTTGGTTCTTGGAATGCTGTGACTATTCACGCGAAAATTTAATTTCTGCTTTAATTTGCCTTATTGGTTCACTTTCAGAAACGTCTTATCATAAAATTATTGTAAAAAACTTTTATTTGCAGCTCTTGAAGCAATGTATGAAGGTTTCAAATTATTCCAAGACAATTATCCAGAAAGAATTAAGGCTATTTATGTTTTAAATGGTAAGTTTTGCATCAAGTATGAAATTTTAATAAATTTAATACTTGAAAATCAAAATAAATAAAACACTTGTAATTTTTTACTTTGTCATAAATGGTGCTGCTTTCCACAAGGTTTCTTCGAATTTTTTTTTTGTCCAGGGAAATATTGTTTGCTTTGTTTTAAGAAAAAAATGCAACGCTTATGTTTGGGCTAATTTTCTATACGTATATATATTTTTCTTACACTGTGGCAAAAAAAGTCTCATTACAACTCCCCGAATGGCAACGCTAGAAAATCGACCAATGATTGCCGCTAAAAATACCACATGCCAAATCTAGCTGAGATGGCTCAACATATAGCGCTTTTAAAAACGGAAACTGAAATAACCAGAAAGAGCATAAGCAAGGCAGAAGTGAGTAGTCTTTGTCGATATATCTCTATTTTAGTATTTTGTCGAAAGCGCTTTTTTTCACGAATATTACGAATTTATTTGACAATTTTTAATTTATATCACGAATTTATTTGCTTTACTAGAATTTATTTGTTTATGCAGGTTTTTCCATTGCAATTCACTTGTTTCAATTTTTAATAGACTTAATTATAGCCAAAATTTTAACCTTTTTAAAGAGATATCAGTTTTAGAAATTTTATCTTAAGATTTTATACTATAGCACATTTCTAATAGGTTTAACGAATTACATGTCATTTATTTGAATTCAAATTTATTTTAATGAC